GGCACCCATACATCGAGCTTCAAATCGAAACCGATTTTTTTTTAACGCCGAAAAGCGGTTGATCGGTCAACGTTAAGTGCTGTAGCAACTTCCTTTGTTGAAATTCGCGGAGTATTCTGAACTAAAGTTCGCACAACATCGTCATCAATGTCTGAAGGTCGACCTGAGCGTGGCTCGTTTTCAAGGTTAAACTGTCCGCGGCGAAATTTCGCAAACCATTTTTCCACAGTTCGTTTAGCTGGTGCTTGATCTTGATATACCTCTTGAATGTTCTTTACGGCTGCTGAACGTTTATTCCTTTCCGAAACTCATAAAGCATAACATGCCGTAAATGCACCTTTTCGACACTCATTTTGAAAGCAATCTTTCTCGAAGCAGTTCGTATCTACACAAATTCTTTTGTTTGAAATGAACGCTGCACACGTCACCTTTCCAACGATATGTCTTACAGAGATGGCGGTATTAATGACAAAACTTTACGCCGCTTCTAACGCCATCTATTGCACCTCCGCACAAACTTTTGCACTCACCCAATAACAACATAATTTTTAATCTTGTCCCATCCATGGTTTTAGAAAATACTACACAGCACGAAACATATCGTGAAAGGCTTCAATTACAAACTTTTGAAACCTTGGTTAGGCGAAGGACTTCTTATAAGCAAAGGTACTTCGATGGCATTAAAAATAGCATACAGTCTATTTCCACATGTGTTATTCTTGACCAATTAACTTTCGATATAAGGAAATAATATTTATACATGTATATAGACGGCAAAATGCTATAGTATCACTTCCATAGGAATGAAGTGGCAAAACAGACGGAAGATATTAACGCCTGCATTTCATTTTTCTATTCTAAAACAATTCGTTGAGATCTTGATCGAGGAGGGCAATCGCGCAGCGAAATCATTCAAGAATACAGAGGAATCGGTTATCGATGACTTGCTACATTTCACCAGTCATCATACATTAAACGCTATATGTGGTATATATATATGATTTAACTTAATTTTTCTTTTTCAAGAGAATTGAAGTTTATACTTTTTATTATAAACGAACCCGTGAATCAGTTAAAAATGTTTATTATATTAATAACAATTTTTATTAATATTTCACAAATTTCATACAATAGTGCGTTTTAATAT